ATTATATATATTAATGACTTTCAGAAAGTCACTAACATGTCAAGATTTAGCCTCTGGCCCAAATTTCCCAACAAACTTGCACTTTTAAAATACTGTCTAGGAGTCCTCTCAAATACAGAGCAAGTGCACAGTATGTGTTTCATACTTAAGGTACTGTCATACTGGGTGGTCTTCTCCCTTTAAAAGGTAATGAGTTAGTGGAGTATGACTAATTCTCAAACAAATAAGAATTATCTCAGATCTCCTGTGGTAAAGCTTGTTAAGTGTCCAATTTTCTATAAAAGGCTAGATTTTGTATAGCTTACTGTAGAATTTTTCATTCTGCATGTTCTGCTAATTGTTTTTTACTGACTGGCTTCAAGTCTCCACCTTCAACAGGCATTGAATATGTTTTGGACTTTGCAACTGCATCAGCTTGTTCATTTCCTCTTATACCTACATGACCTGGGACTCAACAGAATTTTAGAAAAATTCATTGCAAACAGATAGTAAATGAGTTTACAAATTTTAATTAATTAATTAATACGTATTAGGTGTGAAATCAAAGGAGAAAAAAATTTAGGCGAGATCAAAGCTTGAAGTGCACAACTGAGTCAGTATAAATCACACAGCAATGATCTTTTTTTTTTCCTTATATGCTTTAAGACTAAGTAGATAGCCTGCAGCTCTGCAGTAAAAATAGATGCCTCAGATGGAATTTGATCTGCACAATTTATCACAGTAGACAAACGTTAAAACAACGTTGTTTCCTGATTTAGCTCCAACTCTGTATGTAGGAATTAAATTCCTATTACTGTGATGGATCTCTGCAAATATATATCTATATACAGATTCTGGGGTAGATTCTTTATAAAACTGCTTTAATTAAGGATTGTCATGCCACTTTTCATTTCAAAACAATTTCTTCCATATCTTGTTCAGTATTTCTTAATTTTAATCTTAAATAAAAAAAAAATGCATTTAAAAAGTTTAATGTAAGTGATGCCACAAATCTTCTAAATTGGTTCTCTGGATCCTGAAGGTCAATGTACCATCAAATGGAAAAAAACCGCTCTACATTATTAAACCATTACAGGAAATCCTCATTAGTTCAAAATTCAAGGGACAAATACTGTAATCACAACTTCAAATTATCAAGTTTCAAATTATCCAAGATTTACATATTTCTGTACAACATATCAAATTCCATGTAATTCATGTAATTTATTAAGCAAACGAAATACAAGTATGTATCCAGAAAGCTACTTTCATAAATTAATAAATATTAGCAATATAAATAAACTGTGGTTAAACATCACATGTTCAGTGAGAACTTCACAAATTGCCAGATGAGTTTTATAAAACATAAAGCAGAAATCTTGAAATATAGTTTAAATTATTTTTACATTAGTCCAAAAAAGTCACCAAAATCTAGTAGGTAGAGCCCTACAAATATATCAATCTTTTACTTGTAGCCTAGTGTTGCAGCTCTGAAACCTAGCTGTATTTTATGAGACAAGAGAAAAAGGGTAGTAGATGGGTAAGATGATACCTGAAAATGTGTTACTGTAATGTTGGCTAGATTAGAGTTGTTTGTGATTTATTATTCTCTTACAGTATAGAGGCATGTGAGCTTCAATCTAAATGTATGATCATACAAGATCTGTTCAAAAAGTATCGAACCTTATTTTTTCCGTAAACCAATGATGCGAGAGAGGCCTCCTTCGGTGGAGTTGTGGAGGGGACAGTCTTGCACAGCCCTGAATTTTTCCCCGCCTGCAGGAAGCGTCAGTCGTTGGCAATCGGCGTATGAGTGAGATCATGTAGTGCGCTCTCGTCGGATTTCACTAAGCTGGAAAATGACTGAACAACGTGAGCAGCGATATTACATCAAATTTTGCCAAAAACCTTGGCGATACCCGAGTGTAAACCATTCGCAAGATTCAGCAGGCTTTCGGGGACAATCCTCGAGGCCAAAAAAAGCGCGGCAGGTCCACAGCAATATCAAAGGTCATGTTGACAGTTTTTCGACTCTCGTGGGGTGGTGTGTCGTGAGTACGCACCACAAGGCCAAACCATCGCAAAGGAGTACTACCAAGAGGTCCTTCATCGTCTTTCCGATACAGTGTGATGCAAACGACCGGATCTGTGGTCGATCAAAACTTGGCAGCTCCATCGTGATAACGCATCCGCCCATTCTGCGCATCTGATTCGGGCTTTCATCGCCAAACACAATACTCCTGTGGTTCGTCACGCTCCGTACTCTCTCCACATGGCTCTGTGTGACCTTTGGCTATTTCTCAAGCTGTAAATGCCGCTAAAAGGAACCCAAATTTAGTTGAGAGAAGACATCATGCGAAATGCGACGGACCGGCTTATAACCATTCCAAAAGATGCGTTCCAGCAGTGTTTCCAGCAATGGCAGGAACGCTGGGAGAAGTGTATACATTACCAAGGAGACTACTTTGAAGGGGATTAGGGTTTTGTACCTCAAAGTCAATAAATTTATTTTTGCCGACCAAAGGTCCGATACTTTTTGAACAGACCTTGTATCACAGTTTGGACATCATTTTCACTTTGATTTTCAAAGTAACCATATTTTGAACTAAGCAAATTCCTTAACATGTAAATCTCTATATTCCTGGCTAGGACAAACAGTGCAGTTAAGAATTACTGAGTTCAAACTATCCGAGTTCAAATTAAGGAATTCCTGTACTTAACCAATCTTATACTTGATTGCTTCTTGTTCTTTTTAAGAACAAAAGCAATCAAGTTCAAAGTGAGCATAAAATTACTTTGGAAAACTTATCACACAGGAATATTTAGGTGATTGATCAGACACTTTATTAACTAAAAAAAAAACAAAAAATGGAAATTAAAATGTATGATCAATCATCTAAGTGTTCCTATGTATTAAGTTCTCCAAAGCTTTTATGATCACTTTCAACAATTGTCCAATCTGTTTTTTTAACTCGTATTCATTTTTTTATTCTTAAAAAATAATCTTATAAACAGTCAAAAATAAAAATGTTTTTCTCATAATTTTTATTTTAAAAAGCTCTTGATATAAATAATAATAATATAGATTTGCATTTAATTTATTATTAGATATTTACAGTTTTTACATATTTCAGAATAAAAAACTTATTATTATTAATTAATATTTAAAGCTGTAATTAAACAGAATATTCTCTAAAATCTTTTTAACTTGACAGTTAAAATTATTGATACCTAGGGTTGCCGTAATTGCCAAGCATTGATACAGGACATTTATTTAAGTGCTAAATAAATAAAACAGGTAGGTAATGGTTTATTTTACTCTGATAAAAAATCAATAAAATTTAAGCAATCTAATAAAATGAATATGTAGAATAATAAAAAAGATGCAAGGCTAATCCTTTTTAGTCCAGTCATATTTTAAAGCTGATTTTACTTTCTTAATTATATATTTTTCTTCTTTCACAATTATAAAATTGGGCACAAGTTATATTAAAAATTACAACAACAAATCAAAATTGCTTCGATTGTCTCCACTGACAATCTGTTTCTTTCGTCCAACCATTGAGTTGACATTAGGGAAAATATTCTCTCCACATTTGTGTTGTGGGCTGGAATGGCAAATACGTATTCGCATAGCTTTATTAGACACAACTTTTGCAGATACAAAGATCAATGCTTTGTATCTGCAAAAAACTTCAGCCATTTCTCTTCCATACTCAATTTCATAGTTTCTTTGCAGTTTTGGTTAGTATTATTTTTTTCTAAATAATCTTTTAGATATTCAAACTGGTTGAATAGAATCTCAGTGTTGCCAATATTGATGCTTTTTTACTTGTAAATATGCAACAGTATGTTCTGATTCTTCCCATTTAGGAATTTGGTTGAGAAAACGAGACAAATAGTAAAACAGAATTGAGTAGTGAAATATGGGACGTGGCAACCCTATTGATACTGAACAAAACAATATTTTACAGTTGATCAATAAATTAAGGTAGTCACTCTAACTTATTGATTTATACTCCTTTTGGCAACTTTATCCTTCCTAAAATTTTCCCTCCTTTGAAATATTTTTAATCCTTCCTGCTTTCTTTTGAAAAAAATAAATAATTTTCTTTTACCTCCCATAATTTTTTCATTACCATCTCTCATGCTTAAGAAAACAAATTTAGAAAACTTTGCTTTTTTATTAAAAAAAACACTATATTAGCTAATAACATTTAATTTCATGTTATGCCTCCTATAACCATTTTTTACTAACGGCCAAGACTACAAAATCAACTTTTTATAAAACTTTAATGTTATGCATTTTGGATGCCGCACATCCCTCTTCGGGTTTTCTACAACAAAGAATTTACTTTGTTGTAGAAAACCCGAAGAGGGATGTGCGGCATCCCTCGTCGGGTTTTCAATTATTAAAACACACAGTGTGGTTGCTAAAGATTGCGAGAAGCAAGGCGAATTCTGGACCAAATACAAACGCTCACTTCACACCAACAACCATAAAAATATAAATAAAATCGGTAAATAAATAAAAGCAGATATTTTTATTTTATCTCTTATTGAAATACACTATTTATATTACTTCCACGTGTTTTTTTTATTGAAGAAATTGATTAAATTTCTGAAGTCCATGTGTTTGAATCCCCTCAATGTGGGTCTATTATTCGCCTTAAATAAGTTAGTTTGATGTTCTATTTTTAATATAAACACTATCTTAGATGCATATAATTACCAAATATCTAATAAATTCCTGCATATTGATATATATCCTCCTGTAATATAAACACTGAAATCTTAAAAATTGTTATATTATTTAATTTAATACGTTTAACGCAGTATCTAAGCGTACTTTTAATTATTTACTGTTTAGAAATTATTGTCATTTACTTATCATGTAAATTTCCCTAAAAACGTGTACTTGATCAAGCATAAATTTAAAAAAACGTGTTTAATAACGTATTACGGTCCGTATTTAACGGCTCATAACGACCACGTGGTATAAATACGTCAAGAGTACTTACTAGCAGTTCATAAACAGAAATTTTATACAGGTAACCGCCGTGACCGTTAGCCAAAAATTACTAGTAGACGCCATTTTCATCTCTCCCGTAAACAACGACAACAAACGACAGGGGGCACTGCGGGGGAGCAAGCGCCAATTTTGAAAATTTCTGTAAGATTCCCTAAGTTTTAACATATTTATTTTCAAATAAGTATTAATTTCGTATAAAAATCGAAATTATTTAAAAGTAAATGAATATAAAATATAATATAATAATAATCTTGTGACATTAAAAAGAATTTTTGATTAAAAGAAATTGTTGATAGGGATTATATAGGGAAAAATATTTTAGTATTTTTCTGCAATACGAAAAAAAAATAAAAATAAAAATAAAAAAATAGAAATTATTTAATTACTTTAGTATTTATTGTATTAATAAATTAATATAATAAAAAATATTAATAAATTAATTT